AAACAAATGCGAGCTCCAGCTTGCTGTCCCAGCAGTAGGCTCCCCAAACCATCAGCGAACCGCCACCGAAGTTGCGCCCGCTGCGTTTGATAGCTCTCCATACGGTCGTTTTCGAGACAGACAGTGCAAGTCTGCACGGATCTGGTTGACGCTGCTGGTGCTGTTCGAAGCTTTCCTCCATATTTCTCGTTCATCTCTGTCGGACGTCGTAGGCTTCAGGATCTCTGAGGTAAAAGCAAACCACGTGTGAGTCCTGCCGATTTGCCTGGCAATCTGTCGATTGCTGAGCTCGTGGAGAGCCCGAATCTGGGCCTTTTCTTCTACAGAGAGACGGAGACCACGCGGCATCGCAAGAAGACATGTCGTCTTGGATTTTGGTACGGATATGTACCCCGGTTGAAACAGGAAAAATTTTCCCGAGTCATCTATGAAGGGTGGACGTATATTATGAAACGGCCAAAATTTGGAAAAATTACTCTAAATTTTCTTGTTGACTTGCGTGTCTGAAGAAATGTTGTTCTCCGTTTTCGTATATCACGAATATGACGATGTGCGCTGTTTGGACCAGTTCCTTAAGAAAATTTTTTGTTAAAATGATGGGTGGACGTTTACTACTGAAACGCGCTGTATTTGGTTAATTTGATGGTTTGCGTCCCTCTTGACATATGGATGAGGCAGACTTTGGAATTTTCTTCTCGTCCATCTTTTTAGGCTTTTTATTAGGATGAACATTGACACACGACTCTCAACTCAAATGCCATGAGATGCGCCAAACACGTGCCACGGCTTCACCGTGAAGGTATTTGAAAAGCTTCCGTGTTTTTTTATGGCCCGCACCTCGATCGATGATTGGAAGAGATATCTTCTCGATTTCGACTGCAGCCCACTCCGCTAACGACCCCGCGCCCACCGCGTGGGCCGAATAACCACCATTCCGTATGTACGTGTTTGACTTGTAACTGACGGTGTCTCTAGGTGCAAGCAGGCAGTGAAGCTTCGATTCAATGGCAACAACTTGCTCTTGCAGCGAACAAACAATGCAGTTAAATGGAGTGATCACCTCGATACTCACCGCATCTTGAAAGATATCCTTGCTTGTTCATGCATTGTCCTGGCTACCTTTCCTATCATATTTTCGTTTGATGTTCCAAAAGTATTCCAAAGTGTTGCATCTGCATATCCCGGCATGTGAGGAAGTGAAGGACCTGTTACATCTTGCTTAGCAAGCATTTCTCACTCCATCTTCTGTAAAAAAAACATGCTTTTGAATGACATTTGACACGTTTGCATTGATGCAACCCAGTCTTTAAAAGGTCGAAAATATTGTCCAATGCTTCGGAAAGCACGGCTTGCATTTACCTTCAAGCTCAAATGCAAATGTTGGAGTTGTGCATGCAGTGACTGACGAATGATACTACGTGTTCTCAGATAGCATTCCAGCAGCATAGCATTTGTGCTGCCAAAAAAATTCAAATGCCTGGCATGGCAGCATGTGCTGCTGCCCCGCCCAAGCTCTGTGATTGGTCTATTCGGATTGGGTGGAGCGAGGGCGGGTCTCCAGCACAACTGCCATGGACCAGGAGAGCCCCAACAGGAGCAGGACCTGCTGCCCTTCGCCGGAGGCGCGAGAACACAGAAGGACTCCGCGTGCTCAACCAATAGGAGACGAGCGGCTCGTCTCCTATTGGTTGGGCACGCCCTACTGCCGCAGTCAGGCTGGCAGCACTACTGTCAGGTGCTGCCAAGCTGCTGTCCTGATACAGTTCGCGGCGGGACCAATGAGGGTCGCCGCCGGGACACTCGATTGCGAACAATTTACTTCGCGTGACGATCACAGTTTCGCAAGTACTGTCGCCCGCTGCTTGCGCTGCCTGGTCCTGCATCCGTACACCTTCACGAATCCTGTGCAGTTATGCTGCCGAAGACTGGCCGGCAGCATATGAGGATCCCGAGTTGCGGCGGCAGTGCGTCGAAGGAAGCAGCGACTGGGTCCCGCAACGACTGTTACAGTACACGGCTATTTCGAAATGCACGTGACATCCGCGATCGATCGCAGTGGGCTAAGCGCAGGGGCGCTTCAGACCATGGCCAATCCTTTTCTAAAAGCGGTATTTTTTGCATGATATAATGACACACATGCATAGGAACACCAAACTGTAGTTCATTTTTCCTGAGCGGCCTCCTTGAATACCAAAAAAGGAGCGAAGAAAAAATTCTTTAGGAACTGCCGTTCTAACCGCTTTGTTGTGACGTACATCGCACACAGCGTTGACCAGTGTCATATCAAAAGGTTCTCATGAATTGTCCATTGAAAACAATGCGGAATTCGGTCAAAAATAAAACAATCACCTTGGCATGTATTGAAACTATTGTGGAACATTCATCGGCGCCAGTCTGAAGCACGTGTATTAGCGGCAGTCGGAAGTTCTATTGTCGTTTCCTGTGATCGTGCACTCCTGCGCATGCATATAATGCGGATTTTATGTTCGTTTTGAGATCCTACGACTGCGAATTCGTATTGGTCTCTCACGAACTTGTGTGTGCATCGATAGAAATTTTATAATTCATAACAAATTGCCCCCGGAAGGCTTGGAGAAGGGCTAACGTGGAATAGGAGGGGTCCGTCCTAGTGATTACCACGGAACCCGAGGTTCTCCCTCGCAGGGCAAGTCTCACACAACGTTGCGTTTTTTGCAGCTGATCTAGCTATCGGCAGTAGACCCAGCCAGAAGTATGACCAGAAGCCCAGCCTGCCACTGTTTGACAAGGAGGAGAACCTAATGACATAGTCATTGGTGACTTCTCGCCAATCGCCTGCTCGCCAATCGCCCTTGAGTGTCTACCATCGTCTATTACGGGGAAGGATCTCTCATTCCGTAAGAAATGACAAGAAGGTCGCCTCCAAATTTGTTTACCAAAGAGCCTGACGGGCTACTGACCCATGGTCCAACTGTTCGAAGTTAGGACGAAATCTTAATTTTCCCTGAAACTTTCGGGCTAGGGGTTATTCGGCGTCCTGATTACGAATATTCTATTAGTTTTTAGCGTAAACGTCATTTGAATTCGCTATGACGCCATTGGGCGCTACAACGGCGCCGTTCGGTGTCGCAACTTTCTCCACCAGTTTTTTTAGTCAAAATCTACGTATGAAGGTTGCTGTTGCTCCTAATTATAGATATGACATCTGCTATTCACGCTGACACCCTTTTTCGTAAACTTTTGGAACGCCAACAGAAAATGCAAAAAATTGTCACTGTGAGGATTCGAACCACGGACCACTTCATAACCCCTTTTTTGGTATTCAGAGGGCCGCTCAGGAAAAATGAACTATAGTTCAGTGTTCCATGCATGTACCCCTATATCATGCAAAAAACCGTTTTGAGAAAGCTTGGCATTTCCTGAAAGACCTTCCTCGTAAGTGCCAAGGGGTGGTGCGCTTCCTTCGCTACCCCCCCCCTTTTTCGTTTTTTTTTGTTTTTTTTGTATTCTGCCATTCATTTGTCTCATTAGGGCCCTCTTACACTCAGGAGTGAGGGTAAGAGGGTCCTAATGAGACAAATGAAAGTGTTGATCTGTTATCCGATCGACACTTCAGTATCGATCGGAAGATGCCGACGGGGCAGACCTCGTCGGCATCCTCCGATCGATACTGAAGTGTCGATCGAAGGATGCTTCATCTTCTGGTCGATGCTTCAGCATCGATCAGAAGATGAGTGAGGAGTGAGAGTGAGAAGTGATAATTAGAAGTGGAAGTGAGAAGTGGAATGCAAGTTGAGGAGTGAGAGTGAGGATGAACAAATCCTGCCTGACATAATATACAAGAGTACACGTATCGAGCGTCCGGTAAATATCAAAAGAAACCTAATCTCAAGGATCTCCCAGCGGATGTAGCTGAATCATTAATAGGTCGGTTTTACTGGAATCGATGCTAAAAGTAGCGTTGCAAAAAGTCTAAGCTTTCTTGTCAGACTCTTCCGACGCTTAAAACTATACCCCAGAATGATACCAGTGTAGAAGAGTTGAATCAAAATCCCACCTAGGTAAAGGCAGAAAGGCAGAATGACTGCTGCAAATTGCGTTTCTAACCAATTTTTTAAGCTTCTGGCTCACTCTTGGGGACAACGATACGGCTAGAGCTAGAGCACTCCGCTCACGAAAGGACATGCGTTTGTGTTGGGCAGCTATTCTGCGTGGTGCACTCGCGCGTGCTATGTAGGTGTTTCCACTAAATGAAAATTTGAAGTAATATTAGGATGTACACTTCAACAAGTCAAAACCATTGACTGATCGCTAATTATTCAGGGCCGACATCAGACAATATGTCCCCAAACACGACCGCCTCGTGCCCCGCCCTGTAAGGCTTTGCTTTATCGTTTGCCAAAAAGACTTTCATGCAACAAAAATTGATTGTTTTAGAAGAGGCAGCTTGCTGGTTCCTCTCAACTGAGCAAACACAAGCACACACACGACTGAATACGGAAAGGAGGGCTTGGAATCCCGCACACAAATAACAATTCTTACTCAGTTCATATCGCACATTGATCACTCAACATGTATTATCTCAGCTCACCTTTTTCGATAGTCGATTTTCTCATATCCTAGTAGTGAAGACACGTGTTTCGCTGGTCCGTTTTCTGTGATCTTAAAACGTTTCCGACTGTTATAATGAATTGCTGGAATCTGAACGCTACGCACTCAACTGTCTGCTTTACCTTCGTGCTTCCCATCCATCTTGTGCACTGCATCCATTGTGTGATAATCCCGCAAAACTGATACAGCAGAGACCACCAAGCCGATCACAAATTAATGTCTCAAGGCCTCGCATTAACAATCACCATGGTCACTGCGGATCTTTTCCGTGCTAATGGAGCATTCTCCTCTCCTTTTGCAACAACAGTGTGTAGCAGCGCGTTTTCGGAAACACAGACACATAGTGCAAACACACCGGATGCAGTTCAAGGCTGTCTATCGAAATTTTACGGTGCTCCCTATTTGGACTGGTCGTGTTCACAGACACTTTTGTAGCAGAAAGTGAAGCCTTGAAAACATCTCCTTTGGTGTAAAAAAGAAAGGGATCTGGTTCGGCTTTCAATGTGGGAACCGGAAGATACCCGGGAATTGTGTACCAGCAACATTGTTTGCTGTTCTTTCGGCTACTTTTCCAAATGAAAAACGGACCATGCGATGATTTGCTGTACTTCGGAAAATATTAACAAGTTTTTACACATATGCACAATGTTCTAAAATTTGATCTCTCCTGTCACTAACAAAACTCATCAATCTACTGACATAATGTATTATGTTTCTGTACTATGCTTTGTACGTTGCGATGTTTTAATTGTAAGTACCCGATATATGTCCAAAAATTTGCTCTGGAAACCGATAGGGACACCATTGCCCTAGGAAGAACCCCTAATTTTGTCCGCGAGCAATGAGTGCAGATGGAGAACGCCTCGAACCAAGATTCGTGCTCAGCACCCCAGATTGCCCCGGGGTAGAAGTTTCTTTGGCTAAAACTTGAGCGGAATTCGAAATACTCTGAATTTCGGTCTTTTAGGCAAAACCGAGCCCAGATTCGTGCTCAGCACCCCAGATTGGCCCCGGGGTAGAAGTTTCTAAGTTTCTATGGCTGGATTTTGAAAAAACCAGCTTTTTACCCAAAATACCCTAAATTTGAAACTTTTGTGCAAAACCGAGTTCACCACTGTGTTCAGCACCCTTGAAAACCCCCCTAGCCAAGTTTCCAGAGAAAATTAATTTTTGGACCTAAATCGCGTATGATCAGATGCTCGAAGATTTGTTTGCTTTGGTGCCATTAGGATAAACGTGCATGTTTTACCGTTGTTTGGCAGTAGTTGGCTTACAGTAGTTTGGCAGTAGTACTGCCACTTGTCCAGGAGTGGCCAATATTGGCCATATGGATATGCAGTATTATGGCAGTAGCTGGGCCTCACTAGATTAGCAGTAGTACTGCTAATCCCGGAGGGGCCCCCTGGGGAGGCGGTAGGGTGCTGTAGAAGTGCAGCAGTGCTGGTTGCAGCATATGTCCAGTAGTGCTGCGTCGTTAGTACTGCTCCTAGGCTGCACTCCCTAGAGGTGCAGCAGTGCTCGTTGCAGCAGACGTCAGTCGTTCAGATTACAGCAGCACAGCGGTGGAACTGTGCGCAGCATGTGCTGCGAGCATGGCAGCATATCCGGCAAAGGATCCGCCCCTTTTTGCCTGACTACCGTGACTAGCCCGAGATGTGCAAACCCTATGGTGCTGCCATTCTGCTGGAATGCTATCTGAGTTGTTATTCGCCGTGAGCATTATCGATTGATGGCGAAAGTTCGGAATTTCTGGTCAAAATCTACCCTTTCCCCTACAAAATGCAGGGTTGCGCAAGAGGGGAGCACGTACACAAAAAGCGGGATGATTTGGCAGGAACGAAGGCCCTAGGATAGGCATTGGCCCCCGCCAGCACCAATGACTCCACTCACAAGCTCCAGTGCTATTTTCAATCGCCGCTATTGGAGAGAGGAACATTATTTTCGTCCTTGTGACGGGTCCCCCCCCCCAATTTTTTATTAATGTTCACACTTCAGATATCCGCTTTCAATTACAAGCGAATAACTTCATCAGTTCAGTCTCGGAACTTTACCTCACGAACCGAACTGCGAAACCGAATGGGTTGGATAAGCACAATACAGAATTGGTGGCGATGCCGACGTCACTGCCTCAGTTCCGTCGCTCACTTATGTATTTAACAAGAAAAGACTTACTAGCTCTGTGCCATGGAGTTTGGCAAATTTCACTATTACATCAAACATGGTGATCGCACAACAGCTCTTCATTCCTGCTGAAATGTCATTATTCTTCATCATAGTTGAGATGAGGTGGATCCGCGTGTAGTAGATGTGATAAGAACTGTGAACTGGGTGATGAACTTACTCACTCACAATAATAGCACTCGCATTCGTTGGCGAAGCGTTCCGAGCAATCTCTGGCGCCGACATTCGTCATGAAAATGCACACAACTAGGAGAACGACCAACATTTCAAACACCATGAGTTCTAGCCGCCTCGCTTTCTTTTTATATAGGGGGAAATGTGCACTTCAAGGGTTCACACATCTGCTTCGTTTGTACTGAATTCTCATCTGATTCGCCTGAGAAAAAGCTGTTTCCCATTGGTTTAAACACTGTATTCATCATTGAGTATCGTGACATCGACAGCCCACCGTTTCTGCAGTTCGAAGGAGATTGTCAATAGAAAAAGAAATTGAAGCTGATCAAAATTCTGTCACTGTCCTCTTGAGCGATCGCAAGGGCATTCAACGTGAAATTTTCAATGTTGCGCTCATGTCAGTGTTGGAACAGGAGTTTACTACGGGACGTGAATTCATTAGGTAATTACAATATCCGTTATAGTTCTTCTCTTAATGTGAACAGTGTTCCAGCCATGGCTTAATTAAATTTACCTTATACTGCTTAGATGAAAATTGACGTCATTTCATGAAATATAGATGCTACTTCGATTTCGGCACTGGACTGTAGGAAACACGTGGTATCGCTTACTTCATAACGCGTCTACCACTCAGTGACTTTGTTAGTTTTTACTGCATCTATGCATTAGAGAAGAACCTTTCATACACATAAAAAACCCTTGAGCGATAGAAAAACATGGAATAGTAACAGCAGTTCCACGTTATACGGTGGCAGCAGCACACAATGATGAACGCGCTTGTTAGACCAATTAAATTCAGTTTCCTTGACAAACTGAATGGGCGCATCAACGTCTCGAATTGGTCCAGCCGTATCGTTTGTAGATGTGAAATTGTTTGCCTGAAACGATGAAAATGGAGTTGCAGGGAGCTGATTGTCTTAGCTTCAACGGTGTGAGGCTGAGACAGCAATAAGCTCCCTACAACTCCATTTTCATCGTTGAGCATTCAAGTGAACAATAAGTAGAGTTCATGACCAAAGCTTCAGATTCACCATTATCTTTTGTGTATAATTCTATGGCGTCATGGTTTCATGATCTATTTGGTGAATTGCTCCACTTTATCCGAAACGAAAGGGATTTCTAGTTTCACAGTCTAGCACGTGCAGTCTTTCCCAAAATTGAAATGCATCGCCAACCGTCATACGACTTTGATTGCAGTGTACGTAACGGTCCATCTCCTAGAGTTCGATCTGTTACAGAGCTAAAGGTGGCTGTGAATATTCTCAATAAGCGTATCTACTACACAATGTAGCAGCATTACGTGGATAAATATTAAACATACTAGATTCAACGATTTATCAAGCATAAATGGTCGATAGAGTTTTCTTGGGTAAGAGATGTTCGTATAAGCTTATAAATACTGATAAACGGTAAGTTCCCTCGACATCTCGCGAACTTAAAGCAATGGTCAAATATATTGATAGGCTTTGAGTGCGGGCTCGTTAAAAGCAGGGTCGCGCATCGCACACCGACGAGAAACCCTTGTATTATCTTTCCAGAAAAACTCGGAAATAATTACTTAGAGTATTGAAGAGGCTAGCAGAGAAGGAGCAATGCAAATCAAATGCACCCTCCTAAGCTCAGCGATCAACCGAATCTGAGTAAGCGCGATTCCTTCATCTCTTTTCCTTTTCCCTTTCCTCTCTCGGCTCTTCAGCGTCCTTTGTTTAGGCGGATCATCTGTTCAAATGTAACTTCGTGCTGGTGCAGTAATTCCGTTACCAAATAATAACAGGCTACGTTCTCTTGTCTAAGCACAGTGTTTTCTACTGTTAGTTCTTTCTGGGCTCGTCAACTGCATGCGCAAATAAACAAACAAATAAATTGATTCATAATTTTTTGTCAGTTGGTTTTCTCTCGTGTGGGAGTAAATTATTGCGAAGTGTATGTCATCAGGTACTCTGGTTCGTGATCGACCACATTTCTCTTCTTTAGACAGCAGCGTTGAGGTCTAATCGCTATTCATGCACGTGAAGAGTGCTCTGAGGAAACCAAGCTCTGGGTTACACTCGTCACACTTCATCCTTTGTCCCAGCTTTCTCATGATTCTTCTTCGTGCGAAATCGCCCATGAGTTGTCCTCAAGTCACGATGTAACGAAAGACCTGCACAATGCACCCGTATATGCCCGTCGACCCGAAACAACCCGTCCTTTCTTTTCCGTCGACTCCCTTATGATTGTGTGGGCAACCACACCGGTGCTTTATTTAACTTCTCCTTACCTGTAACGATATTGAGCCCTATTTGCGGAAATGGACAACTTTGGCAATAGGCTCGCACACTTCCACTCACTTCCAGCCACTCCTCATTGTGTCATGTCACTCTGTCCATTTCGCATTGAGCTTTTGCGTTTGGATGTCGTCGGCCTACTCTTAAAGAATAGGGCAGAATTACTGATGTGAATTCCTACTTCAAATATTTTATTCTGCTATGCTTCTTGTGCTTCAGATTGGCTGACGATGTTCAGCTTGAGCATGGTGCACCTCACACCTACTGGAGTATAAAATGGATAAGCCTTCTGACCAGGGTGAATAAACGGTCAAGGAAATCCTCGACAAAGGATCGCTTGCTCCGATGAGTAGGTGGGGGAGAGGACGGGGCGTAGCAGTCATTTCATTCATGCTGACCACAATTGGTACTGGTGCCTACCTATCCGCTTTCATCACCTGATTTCACAAGTGTCCTAGTGTAATGAAAATGGTTAAATTAATAGATTCCGTGTTCGGTCTTCTTGAAACCTGGGCATGTTGTATATTCCGTGTTGTTGTTGCTATGCCATACAGGTTGTTACGGTGGAATAGATTTATTCGGTCGACGTTTCGAACAATTCGTCGTTTCAGGACCTGAAGTTGGTTCGTAGTTCTCAGCTCGTAATCAATCCGGTCAAATCCCCCGTCATACTTTCTCAGGATACAAATAGAGAAAGATTCCAACGAAGAAACTGACCTTACTGCTACTCCACCAGCGTCACGCAGCCAGCACAATTCTCAGCAAAAAAAATGAGACACCCTCGCGTGAGGATGTAAGCCGGTTAGACGCGTTGTCGCAACGACCGCATACACCTTCGCGTGACGACGTGAGCGGTACGCGCGTTTCTCACAATCCACATAGTGGAATGAAAGGCAGAAATTCATTTGCAATGGCCATGCACTCGTTTCTGTTGTTCAGCTTTGGATTTTGCGCGCGGATGTAAAACACTCCTAGCATCTTTCTAACACTAATGTCATCTGCGCGGGCCAGAATTTTGCATCGTATATCGAAGTCGTTGTCCTGATGAGTTTCTGATCGATGCTTACCCGCCAAGGCTGTTCTTTTTAACGTCGTTATACCTAAATTCTATCCCGTCTCTGCCGAATAGAATTTCGCCCACAAGGATTAACTACTGGAAGTTGGTAATATCTCTCACTCGTTGTGCACAGTCTCCACACCTTCCACGTGGGCAAATCATGCAGTACTCCATAGTGCATTCACGATCACAGAGAGCCTATTACGAATCAGCTGTCGTTTGATATTGTTTCTTGGTATATTAATCAAAACGACATCGTTGGCCAAATTAGCTCTTGCTATGCACTGCTGTATAGCTGCGCTGATCTCATCCGATATGAAAGGTAATTGAAGATGTGCCATACCATCGCGATTTGATTTCTCGCGGGAACCTTCGCGAATTCTCGCGGAATGATTTTGTAAGCCTGATGCTCTTCTCTCTTCTGTTCTCCATAACCATTCATCCTTGCAATGGCAGATGCTAGCTTACAAGACTCATCTCTTTCCATGTGGCCCATGCAGACTCCAACTGCCGCTCTGTACA